ATGGGTGAAGTTTGTCTCATTCATCCCCTTATCCCAATTGTTTTTGCTTGTTTTTGCAGACTGGCAGCTAGAGGGCCTGTGGTAACATGCACAAACCAAGCATGTCCCATCTCTACTTTTCATTTATCTTGTTTGAAAATTACAAAAGTACCTAACAAGTGGTTTTGTCCCCTGTGTCTAAAAACACCAGCAGCCAAAAATGAAAAATCAAAATGCAAACAGATGAGAAGCTCTCAAATTAGATTTTATCTGCACATGCAAACAGAAGCCACTGTTCAGATAAACTGCTGAAATGCCACAACCCATTTTGGGAAGGTAGAAAGTTTTTTCATTTGCCCTGCTTATACTTCAAGTAGGTGCTGAACAATGCAATGACAACTTGGGAATGTATGGTGTGTAAATTAGGAGGAAAAACTGAACAAAGGTTGTTAATGACACTTTCAATACATCTGATGATAGTGTTGTGATAACTGGTGTTTCAAAATCCTCTTCAGAAAAGACAGCATCACTTGCAAAGCTGAATGATAGGCATTACCAAGTCACCCAATGGTTGGCTTGACTGTGATATTATCCATGAAGTACATGTTTGTCTAAGAAACATTAACCCAGATGTGGAGGGCTTTCAGAGACCAACTTTGGGTCCTGTTAGAAACTTCAATCAGGTTATTGGGGAATTTATTTAAATTCTGCATACTGGTAATGCCCACTGGGTATGTGTAAGCTCAGTAGGGTGTGAAATGGCACTGTCAACTTGTATGACAGTTTGTCTCATAACATTATTCTAAATGAAGTACACGAGCAGGTACTCAATCTTGTTGGACGTTCAAATTTTACTAGCATTCAAGTTGTCCCTGTGCAACAACAGACAAATAGCAGTGACTGTGGAGGCAGAAAATGGAGCTACGTTATTGGTGGGAACATGGCAACGAGGAAAAGAAGAATAAATTAGTGGAATGAAAAGCGTTCGTTGATCCCTGTGGGATTTAGACTGCCGGTTTGAAAGATGAGCTTTTGTTCAAGATTTGCTTCTATAAACTCGTCACTAATTGGCAGTGCGTTTTTTCAGACAGAAATGAAGATTAATCTTCGCAGGTTTTTCTCTGTCTATTTTCAAATGGTCTGGAAACCCGACTCTATCTCTTTAACCAATCAAATTGGAAACTGAATCATTCGCGTCTTGGTCACTTTGTTGTCCCGCGCTTCAGCCAGTTTGAGCTCCCATTGGCTCCGTTTGAAAATTTCCTCACTTGAGAATAAATTTATTTTGGTTTTGGTTCCACGACACTCAGTCGAAATCCGCTATGCTTCTATAATTTTGGTCTTGAAAAATCGGTAATCAGCCCTGATGTATAAATCAGTCGGCTTTCATAATGTCGTGTTTCGGGTTTCAGTGGACTAAAATTACCTGAACGTTTCATAAAATTATTTTACCAAAAAACAATGGGGTCTTTTTTAAATATATTTAGTCTCTTGAGGTAGTTTCATGCTGTCATTCTAGAAAGAATAAACAGGTTTTATTTTTATAAAGCCGAAAAACAACCATTCCAAATCTGAATAAGAGTATCACCGAAAAGAGATCTATTGAGCCGGACACATTATAGAATTCATTGTAGCGCTTGAAAAAAAAAAATAAGACTATCTCCTTTAAAGGAAGTCCATTGTAGTCGTATGTATTCCCAGCGGCATATTTTGTCTACAACAGAGGCAGATGTTCCCGTTTCGAAACAAACATTGGATACACTTGTTGTTTTGCAAAGCGGCCTATTTTAGGGAACAATTCACTGAACTGACAGTTATACTTGTTTACACAAAAATATAATTTCCTATTGAAGTCGCTGTTGTTTTTCCTGGCCGACATCGATTTACTGAAAAACAAAGGGGAAAATCAATTTTGATTGGATGTCTGCGAGATAAATTTCGCTCGCTGTGTTTGTGATATTGTTAGGAAATACTTTCAGGTGCTAAGAAAAAATGTTTAATTCAACAATTTATAAATCACTGTGGAAAGCTTGTCACTGTTGTAAGTACTGCCCTCTTCATCCTTTTACACAGATGAATACTGCAGTTTTTTGGATTCAGATACAAAGTAAGATTTTTTTAATTCGTAATGAAGCACTTTTAGAGATATTTAGTAACTATAAATTTTAATCACAAAATTCTCTGACATTATTCCAGTCGTTCGCTTGCGGTAAGATCGGCATGAATCAAGGACTGGTTCATAGTAACATTTTAACTTGAACATCATCCAATTTTACTGCATTGTTTCCTTTTCAAGTTTTCTTTTTTATTTGATAAACAAATCTAGTTTTCTTCAAGCGCATCCCTGATTTCTGAGAGTGCCTAACCAGATACGATAAAAAATCCTATCTTTGCTTTATTCAAGCTTTGTTTATATTCCATCGAGATATCTTCTTTAAAGTCTCATCCTGATTTTATGATATACTAAGTGTCTTATCTTAAAAGGGATTAGCATTAACAAACCTGTTTACAATTCAAGCGAGTGACCGAGTTATTGTTTTTTCTCTTTGCGAGAAGTGACGACATGTTTATTTGAAATATCTGAAGCTACCGCACGAATACTTCGCCACGTAATGAATGAGATAATGTTTAGAATCGCAGAATGGTTAGACCGGAGTGGAAATGGTTGTGTTATGTTGGCTTTCGATGAAACATATCACCAAGGATTCGGTTTTGTGATGCCTTAATTAATCTTCCTTCTAAAGGATTATGATAAATGAGACAATATTAAGAAAAATAATCTGCATTACTTCTTCGAACACTACATTCTCCTTAATCAAATATATTACTATATTCATTTTGAGGATTAATTGCTTCTGAAACGCACTCCTAGAAGGACGAAACATATGTCAAAGTCTTTATAAAGCCGTATGAATACATCTTCATAAAACAGCCTGATTCCCTTTCTCATGATTTGAATAGCGGTTGGGGGAGGGGGGGGGGAAGCCTTTAGAGAGTACAAGAATAAGATAGCAGGTTCTCACGAACAGTGGAGTCAGCAAGCCTCTCACCACATCCTTCATTTAATCCCGTTTCTTGAATTAAATAAAGATCCGCAATCCTCGAATAACCCTCCCCGGTCCCCCTTCCAGTGTTGTCTACCCTGTTCCCCCCCTCCTCCAACTTCAATTCCACTTCTCCCCCCTGATTTTTGTACCGAAATAAGATCACTGAGCTCGAACTAAATGCCTCATAAGTACAGAACGCAATCACTGGGTGCCAATGGGTGTAAAGAATTCAATTTTCTGAAGAAACGTTAAAGTGAATTTTTCATGAACTGAATGAGAATTAATCTTTTGAGTTTGGTGAACATATGGAACAGTGAAGTATATAAATGACTTGACGATTTTCAGCAAGGGCCCTTAAAAACTCAATGTTTCGATATCTGACGGAAAACTCAGGCATCATTTTCACAAACTATGGATAAATGTGAAAAGCAAAGAAATTAAATATTCAGTGCGGTGGAAAAAAATTTCCGCTCACATTGCCGATCTTACCTAGCTACACAGATGGTATTTCCGCAATCGACTACAGTGGTCTGCGTTAATCGAAAAAAAAAAGAAAAAAAAAACTAAGAAACTTCAGTTTCAAAGTTAAGAGTGCCCCCATCTGTGAGAGACAATTTTTCCTTTCCCGGCGATTTAAAAGGGAATTGGATCAGTCTTTTTTTGCCTCCAGAATTATAATGAAGCCTCTTCGCAGACCAATGTGGCTAGTAAATAGGATCCTAGAAAGGAAATCACATAGTCGTCTCGATTGAGTTTAAAATAAATTGACGTGGAAGTGAAATGTCCGGGCGGGAACATCTCCGGTGAAATTAAGTAGTTCGTTCAAATATGGACGATCATTCCATGAAATACTATGTTCTCGATTTAGTAATTAGAATGCAATTTGCTGCAGCAGAACTACTCTGTTAAAATCTCTTTCAATAACAAAGATACACCCACACATCTCTGACAGGGCTTTTTACTAAATGAGATCCCTCTTACATCATTACAGATAGAAGATTCATAATTCTCTTTGTCTAGGCAGCACTTAATGTGGAAAACTATTGGAAGATTTCATCTTAGTTATCCGATTTGCTGCCGACCTGATTATAGCCATTGAAAGGAATAAATACATCCAGTTCTTTAGTAGCCCTGTGCTTTTGTTTTAGAGTTCAAAAAAAATTTTAATAGCGGATTTTAACGCGGATTTAATTGCAACCGTGGCTTAATTTCAGCTGCTTTTGTATTCTCTGTTTTTCATAACAAATACATTTAGTTCTGATTTTAATAGTCTCATTCGGCAATATAGCACTCCCTCGGACTGGTGAATTTTCTATACATACTCTTTGAATAAGATAAAAAAACTTGAAATCCGACCATACAAATAGGATTGAATGTATAGTACGTACGTACTTATTTCATCAGAAATTCCAGACGTAGATTGCTATTTTTACTAACAAAGAGAGTATTACTTTCTTCCAGAACAAACTTAATGTTTACCAATTCAAATGCATGAATAACTGAAGGACGACATTACTACGCAAGGGAAGGAATTTAAACGTGAAACGTGAAACAGTTTGGAAACCCAGCAAGCTTAGGTTAGTTCTCCCTTCCATTGCCTTTTCTATTTACGTCTGAGTAATTTTACGTGCCTTTTTATCCAAAATCCTTGCCTTCTTCGCGGAGAGGTGTTGGTTATTTCGAAAATTACGTTACGAATGATTTTGCTTGCACTGCGTTTCTTTGAAAAGATATCCACTCCACTGTCTTGACTGTTAGGGTAAAAGAAAAAAAAACTCCTAAAAAGTAATATTTTCTCGTTGAATTAGCGAAAATATATATACCATTTTTTAATTATTTCTTTGTTTGAGTAGGATCTTTCTTGGTTTACACTTAGTTGTCTCCAGCATCGACGGGAGACTGACAAAAAATTGGTAGCGACAGCTTGGATCAAGGCTTGTTGTAAATAAATAAAGTCGGCGCCTGTGGATAACACTAGAGTCATTTCATTCGTATGATTGCATGTTATTCTCCCTGAAAAATAGTAAAGGAGGTGAATTACTGATATTGAGTTACTGATCAAGACTGAGGTGATGTGTTGGACTAATGTCCTCTCACAAGCTGGTAATATGGCGAATGTTTCATTAGGTCATGATCTGGAGAATATAATCTAAAACTGTCATATGCAACGCTTATGAAATACTTTCGTATTTTATTTCATATATATTTTGGCGATTTAAGCATTAAAAATGGGTTTATGAACCGAAATGTAAATTCAGTCTCCATCACCATTCACGAAACCGAACCAAAACGACAGATATTACTTTTTCACTTAAAAATAATGAAGCGTAAATGAGGAAGGAAGCGTTACTTAAAATGAAAAAAAAGCTATTTTGGTAGTGATGGTATTTTTAGACTAGAACCTCATAACAAAAACGTCTTGGAAAGCGGCCTGTGGCCAGACACTATGAAAAAACGTAAACTTCATTGATAAATTGTACTTCATTTATTTTACGAGTGCAATAGAGGTCATTTAAAGACTACGACGTAAGTTCATTCGGTCGATGTAAACAACATTTTCACAACAAAAACTCAAATTTAGGGAATTTTTTTTGAAAATAGCTTAGTTGGAAGCTTGTTAGATACCATTTTGTAAATTTTTTTATTTTCGGTCCCGAGAACCAGTTTCTTAATGAGCTGGTCAGAGATTAACATCAAACTATGCTCGACTTTAACATCTCGTTTTATTTGTAATTTTTAGTCGTTATTCGATATAAAACAGTTGTACATTTTGTTTGCATTTTTTCGTGCGTTCACTTGATTTTCTACCAAATTCATAAAACACGAAAGATCAAATAAAACACTCAAAGCAACAATTAAGTTCAGTTAAGTACTGAAAAAGATATTTGTCATATGCAAATTTTATATTTACGTGAAGTAAGACAGGGATTAGATGTAATTTTGTATTTTGAACTACAATCATTGAGAGAGTTTTAGATTAGTCACTGGAAACAACGCTAACTAGATTATGCAAAATCCAGACAGTATTCGATTCCGAAAAAAAAAAAGGGATTAATCCGAGATAAGGCGCGTTTCCTTCAAACGTCTCGGTCGAATCTTAATTGTTTGAAATTTGCATAACGACCTCTTACTAAGGCTTTGTCACTATTACACCTACAAAACTGAATCGAGTGAGTAATAACTTTTACTGTTCTTTACTTACACGCTCCAACGCTTTTTTGCTGGATGGAAATTTTTACGTGCATCTTCAAACTATGAAACTTTAAAAAGAACACGATTTTTTTTAGCGATGTAAATCTCTAATTGCACTCCTATTCATGTAGAAGTACAGAAGATGGCATTGTCAGGTCAAGAAGCGAAAAATTATGGTTCGAACTTTTGCTAGGTGAAAGGATTTGAATGTAAATACGTACGATTTTAAAACATTATGTTTTGTTACGTAAACAACCGCCTTGAAGTGTGCAAAATGTGATCTTTAACGACTACACCTTCCAGTTTGGTTATTTGCTGTGTCATTATAAACTCTGAACTAGACAACCGGTCCTTCGTGATAAAGTGCTCAAAAAATGCCGAGAATTTATCAGTGGCGACAAGATAGGAATTGTCGTAGAATTTTTGTCTCTTTGTCTTTGCGGTGGAGTGAGTCAAGCGTGTAATCTGCCATTGTTTCATTGGCGGAAATAATTTGTTCTGTGACGACATTGTATGACGTAAAGTGACTGTAATCTCAGCATACGTTAATCCAGTGTGAAAGATGAGCATTAACGATCTTAGTTGCATTGAAGAAAAGCTCTTAAAGTAAGTGGCTTTCGCTCATAGCATTAGATCTATTCACAGTAAATCAGTCTTGCTGGGGAATAGATAACAGATAAGTTGGGACCTGTCTACTGGAACTTCTGTGTGATTTCAATATTTAGGTAAGGTTTTCGACACAGCACGAAAGGTTACGTCTTTCAAGATATTTTTTGGGAATCTCATATCTTCTGTCACTGCCATTTTGAACCCACCTCCGTAAAATATTGTAAGATATATTTAAGAAGGCGCATGAAATGATTACTTAATTGCAAATGCAGTAATATTTGATATGTTTCTACAAAGTGAAGAGTGACATGAAAGCCAACCAAGTTTAATGATGTTTCACAAGAAGTGAAACATTTGCATATTTAATGTATATTTTTGCAACACGCGCCTGTCTTTCTATGCACGTCTGTGTTACCTGAAAGAGAAGTTCATTCTGTGTGATAAAAATACCTTTTAGTAATCGAATTCGAGGTCCTTATGGTTATTTGAAGACTGAGTCTTTTTACAAACATTTTTGAGCGTGGGCCGTTAATAAAAGGGAAAAATCGAGCATCCGTGGCTATTAATTTCTTATCTACATGCGTACATTTCCTAAGGAGTTAACAGGGAATATGTTTCGACCCTCAGGAGCTCCTTCAGTTCAACCATTTCTTTCTTTTTTGTCTTGTAAGAGTAAGGTTTGATCCAAAGGTAACGCTGAAAGGAGGAATTGGATGTTGGTCAATCTTAGGGTTAGAGATAAGATAATGGTTTGATTTCCTAAGGAAGAATCACATGTTGTGATGTTTCAACGCGCTCATGACAAATAATTTGGCCCCTGAGCCCTTACCTCGTCCTGGTATATTTTGGATTTAATTAATTATTAGTATTATTCTTCCAATCGCAGCTCTCCTTTACAAAGACCAGTGAAGTCATGTCTCTTTACGAGCGCGCGCGACACTATCGTTCCCATTCCCTCAAGCCTCTCACTCAACCAAGTTTACTTACCCAGCGTTCCAAGCGCACGCTCAGCCTACCAACCAAGCCTATTATACCACCACTCATCAATATACAACGTTACCATGACAACTGGGAGAATGACGGTGACGAAGAAGATCAGATCTGTGATACAAACGAGGAAACTGTAGGTAAGTAGACACAATTTTATACCTGGTAATTAAGATGCTAGCGTGAAAAGCTTGACGGTTGTTCAAAACCCGTTCTCTTTACCGGCGCGCGTGCAGTGGCTAGAACACTGTCACCCCTGTGGTCCTTGTTCTATCTTCGGAACTGGCCTCACATTCAGGTTTAACTTGTCCTTGGTTCCCGTCATTGTTTCTTGGGGTGAGAGGGTCGAGGAAAGGGACTGAAACTTGAGGTCTACTGTCACCCGATATCACTCTCGCACTGAAATGTGTACAAATTTCAAAATCCAATGAACATATGTTTACATTTTTTTTTCAGCCTGGTACACACCAGTTGTTGGACTATCCTGTAGCTTGGTGATATATTTCTGGTCATGCGCCCTGGCTTACTACTCTACAGCATAATACGCATGCGTAGAGCATGTGGACGATCATATTTCCCGCCATTTTCGTCTTGACCCACCGAATTTCCCCAGTTCCATTTAAGATGACACCCTGCAAAACATTCCATGAAAGGACATCTTCCGCGTGTTCTTAGTTATAACGATATGAAAAACACGTACGGTGTGCAGAATACCACAAAGTGTTAAAATCCGTGGGGAAGAAAAACTCTTGAATGGAGTAAATAAATCAGCAGGAACGAGGATAGTTGAAATTGGAGAAGATTGGCGCGGATTACGAATGACGCATCTTGAAGTGTTGTTTCTAAAACTAAAGACATTCCGAGAATGACATATAAAAATTCAGTTTGAGTAAGCGCTGTGAACTTTTGAAGATGCCAATAAAAATGTTCTCAGCGAATGAAGTATTTTAATGCGAAAGTGACGCTTTGCCTATGTGAAAGTTTGATCATTTATTATTATTGTTGTTGTTGTTGTTATCATCGTCATTATCCCAGATCATTATCACTATCATGAGATTTTAATTCCTTTTATTATTATACGTTCTCTTAAGTCTTACCTACCGACAACAGATTTCATATATGTAAAAGAGACGTCCTACCTACAGACAATAGTTGTATGCGCTCTTGTCTTTACAAGGGCAGCTCAGGAATATGCGTGATAAAACAATTATTGGATTCGGTAGAAAACACAAACTTTGGCCTTGATAATTATCGCTATCATCCTCAACCTCATCACGGCAATAATTGTTAATTAAAAATTGTTCTCAGCATCACTGTTTCTATCAATATCAGTTTTACTGTTATAGTCGCTAGTCGCATCACTGTCATTGTTACTTTAATATAAATTAAATTTATTGAATTTTTAACGACTGTTCCACCGGGCTTACAAATGTAAATGAGAAAGGGATACAAAGGGGATAAAAGATTTCCTTTCATCTTGATATCACGTTCGTAAATTAAAAAAGTTCAAATATATCAATCTTTACTTAAAATGAATTTGTAAAATAAAAGATATATTAACTTCATATTTATTGTGTAAAAAAATTCATCCCTGTTTAAATTCAGTAAAATGGTTCTTTGTTGCTGTAAATCTATGAGTAAATTGAAAAAAAGCTGAGGGGAAAAGAGTAATTAAAAAGAGTATCCATTCCAAGAAATAAAACGGTAAAGTCCATTGCTTTGCAATAGACACACTAGATCCGGGATACTTGAAAAAAAAAAAAACTTACCTGTAAGCCTTTATGTCCTTGTTCCCATGGCAACTTGAGCGTAATGAATTTTATTTAAGTCGGTTTTGAGGTTGAGGGTTCTTTCCATGTAGTTAGCACATTTTTTTTAGTGAAAGCCTACATGTTAAAAGAACATGTTATATACTCGAAACAATACATCTGAATCACAAACACAAATGTACCAACGATGACATGGACTTTTGTTTACTTTATTGAAAAATAGTCAAAGAGAAACATATACTAGTTCATAGAGTGTAACCTTCGAATCGGACCCTGCTTCAAACCTGTCTTGTCACGCAACACTTTTTCCCTCTTAAACCGCCACCTGGTTAGCTCAATTGGGAGAGCGCCGGACTGTTGTGCGGGAGGTCGAGAGTTCAATACCGGCCGGACCAACACTCAGGGTCTTAAAATTAATTGAGAAGAATATGCTTCCTTTCTTTAATATCAAGAAATGGGTTAGATATTCTAGTCTTCTCGGATAGGGACGAATAAATGGAGGTCCCGTCTCCTGCAGGGTTGGGGTAGGAGACGTTAATTCCCACGCACGAGATTACTGTGTGATGGATATCCTCCCTGGGGTGGGTTGGGTGGGCAGGTGAAATCGCTAAGGACTAAACATGGCTGCCAGAAGCGCCTGTCTGATTTCAACCTTGAAATTGTAACTAAACACGTATGTTGTTTGGAGAAATAGAGACCTTTACCTTTACCTTCTCCAACCTGTTGCGTGACAAGACCGAACAATGCTGCGAAGGAGTCAATCAAAGCAAACCACGCAAAATACGTGGCAAGTCACGGTAGATCGCCGTCACTTCATTTAAAATTCATGTCTTTCTCTTCTCCATGTAAAGTTTGGGCAGAGATTTCCGTATAGCTCCCTACTTTACAATGAATATAGTTCTTTGTGAAACTTAGGAAACTTATGGCGAAATAGATAGATAACCTTTGGAAGACCTTGGAACCAAAGCCCTGTTTTAAAATATTAAAGGGCTGCGCGGAAATTTTTCACAAATTTCTTCCCTAAAAGCTTAAATCATTTATTAATCCTGCATTTTCCCTCTTTGCAGAAAGCTTTTCATGTTTACCTTACATTCTGAGCACTAATTGGTTGAAGTTATTCGTTCCAACAACAACAACAACAAGAAGTTTATTTGTTAAGGCAGGTTACTAAAATAGGCAAGACCATAAGTCCTGATGTCCTTCATGAAATTCTATTAAATCAGCCAAGGTAGATTGCACTGAATACAAGATTCTCGTATTGATTAAATTTTTTATGCCCTTAAACTGAGTTTATCACGAGTAAAAATAGCTTTTCCTTGACAGCCCGGCGAAAGTATTCTGAAAATATCATCCTGAAACGTTATACGTTCAAGTCATTTTTCAATTACCACCCGCTCCAAAATTTCAAAATGGCGTTGGCCGCCGACTCGAAAACCCATGGACTCTACATAATTCCTGGATTAAGGTAATTTCGCATTTGACCTCGACTGTATTTCTGTTTTACAAACCGAGTTATATAATCAAGAAATCTATTCACGCATGCGAACTTCAGTTAACTTCCCTAGAGACCCTGGAGACACAAGTCGCCGCGTGAGCTACTTTTAAACTAATGGTGTTTACATCTCGTCAGGTTTAATTTAGTCGAAATTTTACTTATGAAAGAGCCTGAAACGCTTCCTTGCTGGAGAAAAGCGAAAAAATTCATTATGAGAAAAGATCGAAAACCTAAACTTGATACGGTTCCAATAAGTTCATATGAAAATTTATTATTTCCTGCTTGCATTATGATATACTCCGCGCTTGTTATGTTCGGTGCTTTCAGTAATAATTATTCACATACTCAATTCTGTCGATGATTTAATTTTGTTACGCGAAAGCCAAGATTATATTTAAACTGGCTTTAATAAAAACCCGCTTTTTGAAATGAAAACCAATACAGATAACACCTCCTTTGAACTTGTGTGAGGGGAACACGTGAATTGAAAACTAATTCTTGCTGGTGGCGCGGGCGTGATGCTCACCTGCACACCACATTGTCTTCGATCTAAGACATAACAAATGAGTCTCAGATAGTCATTCGTTAATTTTTCTCGAAAATCTTCGAAACTAGGGTACTCCAAACATTGCAAATGGTTGTTGGGGTGTTTTAGATCACTTTCATTTCATACAGAACCTTCTTTTTCCAGCAGCTTCGGTCTATAACTAGGCAAAGAAAAAATTTTGAGAAAATCCAATCGCTTGAACCCCACCTTGAATAACCTTTGTACGCACAGCTGTTACCACGAACCACAACGCGCCACAACCTCGCTTCTGGTTGGTTGACCTAAACTGTGATAGAATTCAATGCTAACCATTTTCACCCTAACCAACGTGTGGGTCATTAGAAATAATATCAAAACAATCTTTACAAAGGCTTTTTGGTCTCTTGTTTACATTTTACAATATACGTTTTATTTTCCGGTGACTAAGAGGCGAAGAAGCGAAGCTGTAAAATCCTTTCATATAAGAAAACATCTCCAAAATGCCGCAAAGTTTTGTAACTTTGAAGAAGGAGCCCCGACCAACGCACGATCCGCCGTTTACGTTGAAGGACTTGAAAGCTGCCATTCCGTCTCACTGTTTCGAGAGATCCACATTGAAGTCCTTCGCTTATGTTGTTTGGGATCTAACGATAGCGTGGTCGTTATATTTAAGCACGGGCTACTTCAACCATCCTTATCTACCTTCCTGGGCGTCTTATATTCTTTGGCCTCTCTACTGGGTCTTCCAAGGCTGTGTTTGCACTGGTATCTGGGTTTTGGCGCACGAGTGCGGCCACTATTCGTTTTCCGACAGCAAGGCTGTTTGTGACTACACCGGGCTTGTATTACATTCTGCGCTGCTTGTGCCGTATCATTCATGGCGGATAAGTCACGCAAAACATCATCGAAGTACAAATGATATGGACCGCGACGAAGTATTTGTACCCAGTACAAAAGAAGAGTTGAGTAAAGATGGATTAGCAGCTCTGTCTCCCACCTGGAACCTTTTATCCCTGTTAAAAATGTCGCTGTTTGGTTGGCCTGGCTATCTAATGTTCCACGTCGCAGGACGTAAATACCACACCCACACAGATCACTTCAACCCAAAAAGCCCGATTTTTAGCGACAAAGACTACGAAGACATTGTTATCAGTGACATTGCATTGGTGGTGTGGATCGGTTTCCTTGGTTGCTTGGCTTACGTGAATTCTCCCTTATGGCTTCTAAAGGTATACATCATCCCTTATCTCATCGTGAATTTCTGGCTAGTCTTTATCACTGACTTACAACATTCGGATGCTGCCGTGCCTCACTATAGAGGCCAACAGTGGAACTGGCTTAAGGGGGCACTGTGCACCGTGGATCGGAATTACGGAATTCTGAATCATGTTTTCCACCACATTGGAGACACACACATTGCTCATCACCTGTTCTCTCATATACCTCACTACCATGCAGTTGAAGCCACAAGACATCTAAAGAAAGTTATGGGAGAGTTTTATTACAAAGACGAAACACCGATTTTCAAGGCTATGTGGTTGACTGGTAGATACTGCCGTTATGTCGAAAACTCAGGTGACATTTTGTGGTTTAAGCATGATTAACTTCTGTCGTTATATTAGCGTCAAGGATAAGACTTTTTTGTGTAAGATCCCAGCAAATAGTGTGGATCACTAGATATTAAATTACACACTCAGCTAAATTTATTTATTTAGTTCGGTATTTCCATAAAGTTTTGCTTAGCCAGGTATGGATGCAGCCGCGAGGAAAGAAACTCTAAAATTTGAAAACATTTATTGGCATTTTTATGGCTCAGGGTAAATGGCATTGGCTAATAGTCGAAAGATCGTTCTACCTACCATCTGAGAAATGACTTGAAATTTCCTCTAATTACCATCTCGTTGGTTTATTTTTGCCAAGGGATTTCTTTCTATTGGTACTGAAATTTAAATTTTTTTTTATTTTCCATTTTTGAGAAGGGCCTATTTTACATCTTATGGAAAACGTTTTCAATTTCATCCGGAAATTTTCATTACCTGAGCGTCAAGTTCAGTCACCATCAAACAACTCCTGCAATATCAATGTCTAAGTGAAAATGAATGGTAGGGATTTCTATAAGCAGGTACCAGTTCTTTGCTATTACACTTTGTTATTACACAAAATGAAACTAGAAGTCGAGCAAATAGTTACTTATCAGCATGGACATTATGGTATTTTGAATGTTATGAAAACATTGTTTTTTTTTAACTTTAGAGAGAAATCTATGGAAGGAGTTCGTTCGGTACATCTCAAATAAATAAAGGCTGGTAGTTTCGAAAGAAACTGTTTGGGGCTGCGTCGGTGAGAGTAACGAAATAATTTGGATATATCAACAAAGTTGAAATGGTAAATTAACCACCGTAATGATTACAAAAGCTGACGTTTCGAGCGTTAGCCCTTCGTCGGAGCGAACATCTCAAATACACGTTTATCTAATCATTCAGAAAAAATTTCATGTTTATTAAAGCTATTGGATTACATGCTTCGAGTGTTTTCAGTCTATACATTTTTTACTTCATTGTACTGTTTGTGTGCATTTATCGGGGAGAGAAAAGTCTTCCTTACGGGAACCGAGCCTAATCAAGCAAAAGCAATTGAACTCCAGTCCCCCATCGTTAGGTTCATAAATGATACCTGTATTCCATCTTGAGGGCCTGGGTGAGGAGAGAACTGTTTACTTGTACGACTGCGGAAAGCAGGTACTGACAGGTGATATTTTACAAGTGAGAAACTTTGTAGACGGGGAATGAGTAACAGAAGAAAAATGAAAGGATACCAGAAAGGATAACAATACAAAACTTCAAGCATGTGAACCATTGGGTGATAAACAAAAAACATTCAATCAGCGTGGAAAAATTTGCTACTTTGAGTTGTGAAACGCCTATCGAGTCGCGGACGAGAAAGAGATGAACGCTACAGAAGAACATGCTCAAAAGTAACAGGCGAGCCAGCAAAGAAACGGGTAACCAAAAGCTACTAAAGGTAAACCGCTACAGAAAATAATCGAGAGACAGATTAGAACGACAAAAGAAAAGAAAGGCAAAACCGCGGAAAGTAATGAAACCGCGCGTGAGAAAAGGACGAACAGGGAACGCGGAACGGCGCGAGGACATCGATTAGCAAAGGAGGAGATGGATTCGACGACAAGATGAACATTAGTTCGTTACAGCAACTTTTGGTACATACGAAGTCGGTTATAACGATGGTCATTTGACGTGAGAGAATAAAAACTGACGGAACTCTGGCAAGTTTTGTTCCCCCTGCATGTCGCTTTAATGAAATAATTAGAGTACTAAGAGAGAGAAGAAAAGTTTCTGATAATCGAATTTTCAAAGTGCAAGACATAAAAAAGGAAAATCTTAAGTAATCATGAAAAAAATATTCAAACCTGTCTTAAGCGGTCGCCCACGGGGAATGGTTCAGGTTTCACAGGTTCTACAAAAAGGGGTATTGTAAAAAATGATAAAAAACGCCATTTTGTGCCATAATTGAAGACGACCGCTTTAAAGAGGTGAAAATTACAGTGATTAAGGGGAGAATTCAGGGACTTCGAAAACTGACGGTTTAATACAAAGTGACCGCGCTTAAACTTTGCTACTCTACATGTTAAGGTTCGACTGTAAATAACTTCATTCCCAGAACTGATCGGAATTTAAATTCTCCTGGCAGAGTAAATGAGAATCAGAATATGTAATCATATATATTGCACTGAATCTATATAATTTGAATTTTCTCGAGTTTCAGTACCAAAACATACCGCATACATACATCTTTATTGACCACTTGCCCAAAGGGCTTTTCAGCGTCAATTAATCCCAAAAAAAAACAATTATAATTATACAAAACACAATTATACAAATTACTAAATAACAATTAAAAATAATTAAAATATCATTCCTTCCTCTTAAATTTGTCTAAAAGTGCCCCTCTAAGCTTATTCCTAAAACTATTAACATCAATGCATGGTGTTGATAGTTGCTACTTGTTGCTACTTTGTTTAAGCGTACTACAAACGACGACAAACATCTCACAATCATTTCAGTGTGGCGCGTGAAAAAATAAAGCTTTACCTTACAGAATTGTTTCAAAAGCTGTGATCGGCGCATCATGAAAACTTAAAAAGGATTTTTTTCGTTAAAGAGCGAGCATTTTATCAGTTGAATCAGTGAATTATGCCCAGTAGATCCGAAGATAAAATTTTTTCAGTTCTCACCGTGACACTACAATAGAGTAGTAAACTTCTCAAAATAATTTCCTAGTAGCGTCTCCGGCACTTTCCTTGCAGAATTAACTAAATAGGTTTCATGCACATTGTGGAAGCTTCGAAGAAAAAGATACAGTCGAAGACTGCACGGGACTAAGCGTTGTTTGGAGCGTTGTTTATAGTTAATGCGAGGAACCGTTGAGAATTTGAAAGCGTTGTGAGGAATAGTAAGAGGAACGAAATCTGGTCCATTTACAACACTGAATACTCCGAAATATGAACATTTTACTCGTACGACTAGCAGTTTTCAATGTGAAAGTGGGTGCTGGCGTCAGAGCTAACTTACTGAATTACAACTAATTAGTTTATTTACGAATTAAAAAATGTTACAGAATGACAAATTCACAAACATGCGTCGAATTACTATGTAAAATAAGAAACAAAAAACAGGCCGTTGGAACTCACTCAAAGGTGGTCACCTTTGAGTGAGTTCCAACGACCTGCTTTGTTGTCTTCCAGTAAGCGGTCACCTTTCTTAACTGGTGGTGGTCACTTTTGAGTGAACTTCAATGGCCTGTTTTTTTGTCTTCTTCTATTAAACGGTCACCTTTCTTAACAGGTGGCGGTCACCTTTGAGGTAGTTCCAACGGGCTGTTTTTTTGTCTTCTTCTATTAAACGGTCACCTTTCTTAATTGGTTGTGGTCACCTTTGAGGTAGTTCCAACGGCCTGTTTTTGTGTCTTGTTCTATTAAACGGTCACCTTTCTTAACAGGTGGCGGTCACCTTTGAGTGAGTTCCAACGGCCTGTATTTTTGTTTTCTTCTATTGAGCAGTCACCTTTCTTAACTTTCTTAATTGGTTGTGGTCACCTTTGAGGTAGTTCCAACGGCCTGTTTTTTTGTTTTCTTCTATTGAGCAGTCACCTTTCTTAACTTTCTTAATTGGTTGTGGTCACCTTTGAATGAGTTTCAATGGCCTGTTTTTTTGGTCTTCCACCTGCATTCAACGGTCACTTAAGGTGGCTCGTACCGGTTTTCATCTTTCTGATGGTTTGTAACTTTGAAAGAATACAACAGAAAGACTGACCAAGGCCAGTTGAACACTTTTAAGGGGTTGAATTATATAATCATTGGTTATCCAAAAATAGGTGTCATTTCGTCACTAGTAGTTTCCATGGCAACGCTTTCATAGGCTTATTCAGACGCATTTTTTAGCTTGTGGCTTAAATAATTCGAAAACTAACCCGGTGACCCCATTATTTTTTTCAGTGATTGCTTTTGGCACTTGAAAAGGAAAATGCACAAAGATTTTTAAAAAATTCTACGGAGCGGAATTTCAGAAAATCTAGAAAAATGGCAATTTTCAGACATCGCAAATTTCCTACCGTAGAATTTTCTATTTTTTTTTCTGACGATTTCTTTCGACGTTATTATCATATCGGAACAATAAAAAAAAGGGGTCACCGAACTTGTTTTCATGCAATAGCTTTCGTGAGTTTAGCAATTTCCACGCGCGTCCTCGCGCATTTAAAAATCTGGATGCTATAAGATCGACATTTGCTCATGATCTGTCATAGCTACCGCTTACAATAGCGTGTGCTCGCGGACGCGCCTACCATCTGATGTTTACAGACGTTTACTGCTAATTAGAAAATCATTAAACAGCTGTCAAAGACAGCCTCCCGGGCTCATCTTAAAAATCCTACACACGACTTCTGGCTATATCATATTATTTTCCTTTAAAGTTTCAAAGTCTTCTTCCACTTCAGGTAGATTATCCTTCACTTGAGTTCTTCTTTATTTGCCGTCGCAAGATTTCAGATCGGTTGAATATTTCTTTTAGAACGTGAAGTGAAGCAACCTTTACTTCTCCGAAAGTCGTCCTCTTTATTTTAGTTTCTATCTCCTGCATTCACAGTAGCCGCTCAACACATCAAATACAAGCTCTTAGGTAAACTTCTCACAAAAGTAGAAAAAATTCCACGCGCCACCATCTTTGTTTTGAATTTTCATCTTTTGATCTCGCGCTTCTTTCGCACTCTTCTCTCGCGCGTGATGCAAGAGTGATCTGTTCCCCGCGCGAGGAAACCGGTACGAGCCACCTTAAGGCGGAACCACTCAAATAAAACTTAAAATAATCTTCCAAGTAAAATTTAATCCATGTTTCTTTCTCGAAATCAACTTTAATAGTATTTTTGAGCCGGTTCTTATAAATCCAGAAATCCAGTGATCAATTATGGCATAAAATGGCGTTTTTTCTCGTTTATAATTATTACTATTTTTACCCCTCTCTTGAGGAACCTGTATGAAGCAGTCAGCTGTTTACCCCGCCATTTCACGTGCGTGGCAGATGAAAGACTAAAAGTGAACTAACGCCACCCCTGAAAGTCAAGCAGCTTGCGCCCAATATTGGAGGACTTGTGTTCATTTATGCGCAGAGGAAGTTAGCTGAACTGGGCTACCCTGTATAAATGTTCGTAAAATACAAAAATACAAATACAAATACAAACACGACGCAAGATTTGACAAGGACATATGTAACCATTTGAATAAGGAAAACACAGGTCTCTGGGCTTCAAGGGGTTTTGTGTTAGAATATTCTTCTTGTAGCTGGACCGCCCTCAGCGTGTGTTGAAATATAACTACAGACAAACTATTGAAAAATACAAAAATACAAATACAAATACAAACACGACGCAAGATTTGACAAGGACATATGTAACCATTTGAATAAGGAAACAAATAACATAAACAAATAAATAAATTTACTTGCCCCCAAGTAAAAAGTTTATGTCTGCTCCATAATCTTTATGAATTTTTAAACTGAAATACTAAGTCAAGGGTGAAAGGAGGGGAGTACTAAAGAGTCAAACTGAAGGGGAACTGGGTCATAGTTTCCAAAATGTGATGAGTAATAATCACATGACACTCACAATATTATCTTACATAACAAAAGTGCAAAGCGTGTTCTTCGCGCAATAGTCATGAGTTTTGATAGCCTGCTCGTAGACGGTAATTTTTGTTGTCAGTGGCGAGATTCAGCGCGGCGAATATTCGGTCGCATGTCTCTCTTTGCAGCAGTTTGGAACCCTTCTACTTTCTT